GGCCAAGCCGGCCGCCGACGCGACCCAACCGCCACCATCCAGGACGGCGGCGCGGGCACACGGGCGCAAGCAGGCCACCGCGCGGTGACGAGCGGAGAGAGGAAAGAGCACGGAGAGGGCAGGGGAACCCGTGGCCGGAGGGGGGGGGGGAAGGGCACCGCACCGCACCCAAGCGCGGGGGCACCGCATCACCGACACCCGCGGCCTGCCGGCCCGGCGGGCACGGGAGCGGCGGCGCGCACACACGGACGGGGAGGAGCGCCAGGCCCCTTTCTCCGCCCGGAGGCGGCGCGCCGACGTCCACGGTCCAGCCGGCCAGCCGGCCGGGTCGCGTGTGGCACACACCCGAGCGGCCGGAAAGCCAGGGGCGACGCACACGACGCAACGCAGGCCACACGGCCACGGGGGTCTTTTCTCCGCCTCCCTCAGAAGCCGGCCCGAATTCACTCGCTCGCACGGACGCGGGGGCCGAGCGCACAACGACCCGCGCCGCCGCGGACCGGCGGTGCCGGCAGGGGGTCGGGGGTCCGCGGCGACGACCCATCGGCGACAAGTCACCGGCCAACGGCGGCGGCCGGAGGCGGCGGCAGGGACCCCGGGAGGCGGGCGACACCAAACCCAACACACGCGAGCACGCTCACACGCGGACACCGCCGGCACAGAGCGGACAGGGCCAGGCACGGGAACCGGGGTCGCGCCGGGCACGCGGCGGCGACACGCCGAGAGAGCACAACACCCCAGATCCGGGACAGGGGCGGGGACGAAGCCACACGGCTCGAGACGGAGGAGACGATGCGATGCGGGCAAGCCTACCCACGGCAAAGTGGGAGGGAGGCGCGGGAACCCGGGACAACATCGCGCAGGCACGCGAGGCGGCGCCCAGCGGGAGGAGGCACGTCGTGACGCCGGCTTCGGGCCCCTCGGATGGCCAACTCCCGAGCGAGGGACGCACGCGGGAATCTCACCACCATCGCCCCCGTGGCGTACCGGCGGTCCCGCTGGCAGGAACCCTCGTCGTGAGCAAAACCGATCCGAGAAGACCCTTCAAAAGCCACCGCCACCGCGACGACGTGCCTCCCCCACACCGGGGGAGCAGCCTCACGAGCTGAGCGCCGTCCCCCCCCCCCAAGAGAACGCCAACACAACACCCAACTCGACCGTCCGCCGGTGGCCGTCCACCAGGCCAAACCGGCGAGGATCGCAGAAGGCTGATGCGGGTGAGGAGGGCACGCCGGAAGCACAACAAGAAGAGCAGCGGGAGGGTCACCGGGTCGGGTCACCGGGGCGAGAGGCGAGTGAGCGAGCGGCCACCCCCTCACACGGGCGGGTGGCGCAGCCGCAGACCAACGGGGAGGTGGGACCTTTCCGGGCACAGCCGTCACGCCAGGTAAACGAACGCGGGATCTCACCACCCCCAACTCCGGGGCGGTTCCGCGCAACGCCTGGGACACCGAGCCAGCCGACCAGCGGACCGGAAACCCCCACCGCGGCAGCGGCGGGCCCCCCCAAAAGAGGCCCGAGAGGGAAAAGGCAGCTCTCGCACACACCTCAAAGACCCCGTGAACGCCCGCGGAGCCGCCCGCGCCAGCAGGGCCCCACCGCCTCCATCCACACCACACCGCCGGGCACAGCACCCATCATCGACCGCCTCTTTTTCAGCCGCGTGAGCAAGGGCCCACACACACCGGGATCCTCGGCTCCGGAGGGCCAGAACCCCCCCGAGCGGCACACCACCACGGGCACGGCGGCCCCGGAACACCGCGGGGCCCAGCGCCCGCACAGCTCCGTCGTCGCCAACGGGCGGCGGCCCACACAGACGCTCGGGAACAGCGTCGCCAGGGGCCGGAGGGGGAGGGGGACGGGACCCCCAAAAACCCCACGGCAACCCAAGCACGAGGCCGGGAAGCCACACACCACACGCCCTCGCATCGCGACCCGGCGCGGGCTCCAGGCTCCGCCACTCGACACACCACACGTGAGGCAGGGGCGGGGACGGATCGGGAACGTCCTCCACTCACCACACCAGACGACGGCCCGGGAGAGGTCCCGCGGGACCCTCCCCCAGCTCGGAGGGGGGAGGCGCGGGCACGCAGTTTACCGACGCGGGCAGCCACTAGCGCTCAAAAGCGGGGCAGGGAGCGGCAGGGCCGCGGGAGCCCATCGGGGGCGGGCCCCCACCAACCCAGCAGCGCACGCCGCTTCCCGAACGAGGATCGCTAGAGAACCTCTCCTCACTCTGAGGGTGGCCCGCACCCAACCCCGACGGGAACCCCGCCGGGAACCAGCACACATCAGAGGCGTCCATCCTTCCCACCACGGGGGGCAGGGAGGGGTGGGGCACAGGGGGGGGTCTGCGGCAGCAGCAACACCAACCCTGGTCGGTCGGCCTTGCCGTGCGGGGCCAGAGCAAAGTCGCGCACACGGGCGGAGAGCCCGCACGGGCCCGGCTCGCTTCCCACTGCAACATCTCAGGTCCCCCGGTGCGATGAAAGCCAGGTGACACGGCAGGGAAGACAAGCCAGGACCAGGGGCGGCAGCTCATGCGGGGAAGCCACCGCCCAGCGCAACAAGGGAAGAGCGCTCCTCTGGGGAACCGCCTCGACCCCCCCCAGCAGAGACGTCAATCTCAACGGTAACTTCTCACTCGCACAAAAGCCCCACGAACCCAAGGACGGCCGGGACACACCACGGGCAGCAGGCTGGCACAAGGCAGCGGACAACGCCAGGATCGGGAACGACACCACCACTCAGCCTCAGGCACCTGAGAGAACCAACCGGGAGCGTTCCGGGAGCACCGCAAGAGGGCAGAGCGCGAGGCGCGGTTTTTCACACCACACAGCACGGGCAAGCACGGAGCACCGACCCTCCCTCTCCGCGGAGAGAGCCGACCCCCGTGCCGATAACGAGTCACGGGAAGAGAGGAGCAAGATCAGGGCGCCCCCCTCCTCCAGCGTGTACAAGTCCCCGACCTCATGGCGAGGGCAGGGAGAGCGCAGCCGGGCCCGGTTGCCGCACCCCCGCCTCCCCGCACACCACCGGCGCCGGCACGGTGGGACGGGTGAGGGCAGGGGCCCACGGGCAGAACGAGAAGAGCGGTCCCATTCGCCATGAATGTCCGTCCCTCGCCTGGCGCAGCTTAGGCCCGGGCCCGAAGGAGATCGCAACGTCACCACATCAATCACACCGAGGGGGTGGGAGAAGGCAGCCACGCGGCACTCGGGAGGCGGTGGCCCAGGGAAGCTCGGCTCCTGAGAGGGCCAACAGCCTGGGGATAAAAGCGTAGCCAGGACAGACACCCTTCTGTGAGTAAGGAGCGAGGTAAAAAAAAAAAAAAAAAAAAGAAAAAAAAAAATGAAAAAATACCACGGGCTTAAGCGTCCCTGGCACTCGGGATAACCAGGACACCTCTGCCGGGCACAGGACCAAAGAAGCTAGAAAGAGAGGGAAAAAAAAAGAAAAAAGAAAAAAAAAAAGAAAAAAAAAAAGCCACGGACAGCGCTCGGGAGGTAGCACAGCTCAGCGGCCGACCAGGCCTGCCATCGGGAAGCGGCAGGTCGGGGGAGTTGGAGCTAGGGGCGATAGGAGGAAGGAAAAAAAAAAAAAGCCACGGAGGTCGGGCGAGCCCAACGGCAGAACGGGGATGCCGCACACGCACAGGCAAGGCGGGAAGGATTCGCCCCCCACCTTTTCCTCCTCAAGCCGTCCACGGCGAGGGAAGCACACCGCGCGGGCCTACCTATGCACACCCCAGGCAACCAACCACTCTCCTCCTCAGCGTGCCGAGGGCAAGGGCCAGAATCCGGCACCGGGAGCGGGGGAGAGATCAAGGACGACGGGGACTCACTCAGCCGCCAACCACCACCACACCCACAAGCCACCACAGGGACACAGGGCCTGCTCGGGGCAGCGGGAGCCCAGGGTGTGGGGGGGGGAAGGACAGGGGGACCCAGACCGGGAAGAGACGGGAAAGGCCTGGCACACAGCATCCGAGAGAGCCCCCAGAGACCCGCTGACAGCCACCGGGACACAGCATGCCAGCACCCTCCTGCAGGTACAAAATCCTCACGTCACCACGCCAAAACCAGGTCGTCAGGCAGGGGCGACAACTCGCTGGCGACAGGGACCTCTCAGAAACCACATCAGGGACACCTGTCCCCAACACGTCCCCAACAGAGTCAGACACGGAACTCTCAGGGACAGCTGGTCGACCACATAAGGCGAAGACAGACGAAGAGCCAGGGCGGGAGTGGGGTCAAGGGACACTCCCGCCCCACTACCTCGCAGGCACACACCCCGGGTGCGCACGGGCTCACCGCACGGGCGGTACGGGGAGCCTTCCCCCGGCAGACGCGAGGCACCCACTCCGAGAGGCACCCAACCACCACACCCACACCGCGCGGGGTCGGTGGTGAGCGCCCTGCCGCCAGCACGCACACACCCGGGACTCCCGGGCTCGGGTCCCCGACTCCCGAGGTGCTCCCTCCGCCTCGAGTTTTCCCCTACGCAGGGCCCATCGGGTAAGTCCCCGCAGATGGTAGGTAGGTCCCGGCCCCGAGGCTCGCCTCGGCCGTGCCCACGGCTCCTCCCGCCAGAGAGGTCTGTCCTCCGGCCTCCGGGGCCGTGGAGGAGGCCGTGGAGGGAGGCCACACGGGGCCGGCGACCCAGGCCCTCGCACCCGGCACGCACCAAGCGCTCACTCGGAGGTGACTCCGGGGAGGGGGGGGGTCCGAGTCCGGGCCGGGACCAGCCCCACCACCTATCGGCTCACCCGGGGACCCTCTCCCCCGACTCCCGAGACGTCCCTCGTACTCTCCTTTTTTCGCCCTCAAAGACCAGAGTCCAGGGAGGGGAGGAGGACAAGGCGTCGGGCCCAGACAGAACTACTGGTCGACCCGACAAAGCCGCCACCCCCCCCCCCCCCCCCCCCCGCACAGACCGGGCACCGAAGAGAGAGCGGCGACGCACGGCCCCACCCCGCGCTCGCCTGCGGGCGCAAAGTCCAACAGAACAGCCGCCCCGGCGCCACAGCGACACCACGGCGACAGTCGCGCCCGGCACCCTGCAGAGGCCGGGCCTCCGCCCGGCTCGCTGCCGCCAGACCTCCTCCTCCTCCACTCGCTCACTCGGCTGAGAACGAGGGGAATGTCATATCAAAGCGGACGCCAGGGGGAGCACGACAACCGCCTTCCAACGACCGACTCCACCGAGCCGCCGTACCCCGGATCGGCGCGCGCCGGCCGGCTCTGAGCTCCGGAGACACAGAACACGGAAACAAATCGCCTCACTCACCACCGCCACGCACCGAGTGGCACAACCTAGGTCAGGACCTGCAGCCGGGTCCTCTCTGCGACCTCACGAACGACACCAGAGCCACCAGAGACCTAGACCGAGATCGAGCCGCCGCCGCCGCCGCCGCCGCCGCCGCCACCGCCGCCGCCGCCGCCGCCGCCAGCGACCAAAGTGAAACCAGGAACCAGGACGAGATTCGCCCGAACGGAGCGGCCCGAACCCGAGAACCGGGAAGCCGGAATCGGTCCCAAGCAGGAAGGGGCGGCAAAGACGGCAGGCCCGCACCACGAGAGAAAACGAACAGGCCACCCACACGACATCCGCCGCCCGTGGCAAGACCCCCACCCCCGCCCAACATGGCCAGAAAAGGGCAAGTGAGCGCTCGTCCCACCGTCTGCCTGCCCGTCTTTTTTTTTTTTTTTGGGGGGGGGGAGGGGGGGTTGTTTGTACGTTTTGTTTTCTTTTTCCCCCAGATGGAAACCAGAAAGAGAAAAAAAAAAAAAAAACTCCCAAAGATGGGTCGGCTCCAGCAAGAGACGAGCCGTCGGGAGGCACCCCGCTCACTTGTGAAAGTCCGCTCCTCGCCCGCCCCACAACACACTCCCTCCCCCCGCCCCCACCCGCCACCCCTCACAGGCAGGGAAAGGGCAGGGGGAAGGCCAGAGAGAGGTTTCTTCTAACACACAGAGAGTAGGTACGTCACGCACACAGGTCTGGAAGACCACGGTGACCGTGCAATGGGAAGCGTGAGTCCACTCACCCATCACCGAATGACAGGAAAGCCAAACGAGAGCCGCTGGCTGGGTGGGGAAGGAAGGGGAGGTGGCACCCGTGTGACGCTTATCCCCGGGCACCGCACCGGAGGGAACGACCTTCTCACCGGTTCTCTAGCCTGTCCAGACAGCTAGCCTTTTCTAATAGGCTCTGCCACTCTCTCTCTGGAGCAGGATTCGGGGCATGAGGCGATGAATCTAAACCCTACACACAGGTGTCGGAGGGTAGAGGCATCATCACTCACATGCCTGTGGTGGAGGACCTGGACCCGAGCGTGGCGGTGCACAGTGTGTGTGTGTGTGTGTGTGTGTGTGTGTGTGTGTGTGTGTGTGTGTGTGCGGGGCTGGGGGGAGGGCAGGTAGGGAACCCTAGGAGGAAACACAGAGAGAGACGAGGGGCCCCGGCCCAAACAGAGTGGAGGCGTCAGTCAGAGGGGCGATCCTATCGCCCGGGGGTGAAGCATGGTTAGAACCCACAGGCCCGGCGGGCGTACTTCTCTTTGGAGTTCGCACTGGGAATATACGCAGGCACAAGTGCCCCAGCACACACATCGCATCACAGACGGGTAGAGAGGCAGAGCCAGGGGTTCAGGCATGGCAAACACTCTATTCCGTCAACACACACACACACACACACACACACACACACACACGTTACGGTGTGTGTACAATATCCACAAGGTAAAAGTTTATTCATCCATTCCCCAAAGAATAAGAATAAGATTATGTCAGACAGATGGAAGTAGATCGATGGACTAGGAGCGCAAGGGGCGGGGGTGGGGGGGGGGGTGGGGGGGGGGGTTGCCGGCGGCGGAGAAGAACCTAGAACAGGTGATGCCAGGGGAAGACAGACCGGCGGAAAGACAGACAGACAGACAGACCGACCGACCAACGGCACGGCACGTGTTTTCCCTCCTATGTGGATGCTAGACCTAAACTATAACTGGACATGGTAAGCTACACAGCACTCCGGGCAAACAGAGTGTGTGTGTGTGTCCCCGTGTGGGTGACACACATACCGTCCTTTTGTCAGAAGGTGTAACTTCTCTGAGCATTTAAGATATTGCAGAGAAGACATAAGACGTGATATCCCTAAGTGGCACGACTGTGAACGTATTATCACAACCGGACGTGTTAGGATTAAAGCTGGAATTAGGAGGACAGAAACGTACCTGTCATTATTACAAGTATATTTGGTTTAGGATCTTTCAAAACACATTGATGTATCCTTCTGGACACCATGGTCTAGGACCACACCAGTAAATAGCCACTTCAAAGCCAGATCATCGGTTGGATACGTTTCAATTGGTTTATATTGGTTTATATTGCAAGTGATTCCAGAGAAGACAGAGAAAAGAGAATAGCGGGGGATTGTCCCTTGCTGTTGAGTGTGGGGTGGGGTGGAGAAAAAAAAGGATTAATAAGGCCACAGATTGGA